GGGTTGGTCAATGGTGACTAATGGGAACCCAGAATTAAGAAAATGAGCCTTTCACTGATGGAGGCAACGCCCCTCCATTAGCTTTCGAGGTTTCTTAATCCGGGTTCAGCATCATGATGACTGACCAAGGGAGGCCTTGTTGCCGGTGGCCATAAGGCTGAATCACAAAACACTCACAATTCAGCAATGGCAAGTTCCTTTGAGAGCCCTTTGTGGGAGCACAACACGATGGATATGTTGCAAGTGCCTAATCACAAAGGAGATCCCCAATGCTGGGCAAGGCCTATACTCTCCGGGTCTGAGAGCTCTAACCTGGGGTCGAGCAAACGGGTTTTGGGAGAACAGCGGCATCTGCATGCCACAAGCTGAATGCGATGTGTCTTTCGCACGATTAGTTTTAATGAGATTTCAAGGGATATGGGTTTGTCCTGTTTTGAGGCTTCGCTTTTCGAGCTGTTTTAAAGGGAAGCAAATGGGAACTCTACCTTTTTGGGGGGCCCTTTGCAAGTTTGAACGGCCAGTTGCATGATTTCTGGAATTGCTCACTCACCGATTCCGAGGTAGATTAAGCGAGGTAAACCCCATGATGCATGTTTCTTTTGGGGAATGTCAAATATGTTTTGTACTCGTGACTCGTGCATTTGTTTATCTGGCAGCTTTCAGTCTCTGGGTCGCCTAAATTGATTGGTCTTTGGCTCCATGAGTCTCAGAATCATATGGGTATGGGTCAGAATCATATGGGTAATTATGGGTCAAACTTAAATCATCAGGGGACCGCCGGTTTTAGTCTCTGGTTCCATTTGCCAGGGTTCCATTTTGGGTACCTATTTTTGACCCACAGCCATATAACCAACATGCGGGGAAGGGGTGTCCTCGGCCGCTATTGCCAGCGATTGGCAGCTTCTCCGTCAGGTTCTATTGATAGGCTCGCAGGCTGCATCCTTTGGCTTCCATTTGTTTAAGAATATTGTTTATTTTCCCCTGTTGGTTTGAAGGGGAATCTATCACTGATGGAAAAAAAACAGGGGACTTAAGCAAATGGAGGTTGGCCGAATAGTTCGTCAGCTTTCCTGAGTCCTACCAACTTTGACTGCAGAGGTGTTGCTTCATCTTCACTTGCGGTTCCATCACGCTCACCCACCCATCCGGAAACATGCCCCATAGAATTCAGCTGGCTTGAAGTGGAGCCCCTGAAACACACGGGCTTCGTCGGCTTAGTCGGCGGATAAGGCGAGAGGATGCGAGAGGGAATCAGCAAGTTCGGGTCAGCCAAAATACTCGGGTCTGGTGATGGCCCGAGCCCACCCCTGGTCATTCCCTGAGGTCCAAGACCAACTCCATGGCAGATCTATCCAAAACTCAGGAATAGGTTCTATGTGGGCTATTTTGAGCCGGATGTGGAAATGCTGCACGGATTTTCCCTTCTAGCGTACGGTTTTGGACAAATATAGATTGCCCTTGGACCATGCACCTGTGCACGCCACTTTGAGAATTCCGACATCCATACTTTGGCAGTGCGGATGTTGCTTGTTTGTAAGTGGGAATGTGGAAATTGGCCTAGAAGAGCCCACTATGAAATCTGTTGGTGGTGGTATCTAGACATTTCTGCAATCCCCACTACACATGTGTTATAGTTTTCTCACAAGGAAGCCAAAAAAGATGGGCATTTTGGTCCAAGCCTGACTAAGGACCAACAAGTAATCCAGTCATCCTATGCCGCAGCCCCGGTCAGACATTGAGCGCGAGCACCTCCATTTGCATCATGTGTATGTATATCCCCGTTCGCTTTTGTTTTTTTGTTCACCGACTAACAAAGTGTTCCTTGACGTTCCCCACGAATGCTGCAGCCCAAAGTCGGTGTTCGCATCTGCCGCTTTTCGCAGCAAGATGATATGAGCTGCGTAGTTTCGCGCGGCTGGCTCCTGTGGTGACTGAATTTGTGTTTCTTGGTACCCACAATTCCATTCTAGTTAGTGCAATGGTGGAAGCGATCGATCCAGCGCGGTGACCCTTCACTCCTCATCTTGTCCTCCGGCTGCCGTCATGCCGGCTGCCAACTTATTTTGAGGTCGCCCAGTTTGGGAAGCCCATTTCAGTTGCTCTCCCACATGATTCGCTGCATGTTGTGTTTGCCCCTGTTTTTGAAAGACGGCACTCCTTTCGGCGAAGGGCCAGGTGTACTTGAGTAATTGCGTGAGTTGCTTCTCGGAGGGTACGTTGGCCAAGGTACAGAGGATGAGAGGTTCCGCTGCTCGCGAGACCCGGACTGAGCGTCAAGGCGCAGCTTTGCGATCAGTCCCCAGACGTGACATAGGTTTTAGGCCACCCCAAACCAACCCAAAGGCTTCCTTCAGGGGCAACTACCCATATAGGTAGTTGCTTGTCAAGCCGTCGTTATCAAGCCGGGCCAGAGTGAAGCAAAAGCAACGGGGAAAACCACAGCGACAGCTGCCACGCCTGATCCCAGTTGCAATGGATGTGAGCTTGAACTGGAGTGGGTCATCCATGGCCGCATTTGAGGCCAAGTCCCTGATCTTGGACTTGTCACCCTAAGGGCTTGTCCCAGCTGTTTCAGGATCACTCCATACCCACTAGCCTCCGATACTGTACAGGGCACGATTTTGGGCTGCCTGCAGCCAAATCCGATTTAATTCCTTGGGTTGTTCAGGTCAATCCTGAATGAATCCTTATGCCTGAACAACCCGGAGGGGCTTCCCAAATGGGAAGTTGCCTTGCCCCTGGTGTGGGGCACCCCTATTGTATGGCTCGAGCTTCGCTTGTGCGGAGCAGAGCTGGCTGTCTTAACTCTTGGTGGCAAACAGGGGCATTAGGTGCAAGTGGAAGGCCGGGCACGGACGGCAAGGGAATGGAAGAACGAAAACCCTGAAAAACAAGAAGGACTTCCATCTGCGTAAGACTACTTCGTTCTTTTCCCCCGCTAGCTTTAAAGGGAATGTAGCACTACTGGAAATATGTTTATTGTTTTCCAGGGGATATAAGCAAATGGATGAGGACGATTCATCTTTCGTTCGTGGGTCTACCCAATTTGCTCGGAAGCCGGGCCCCCCTTTTGTCCCTCTGGGGGAACCACTGCTGTTGCTCATGCCTTCCAGAGTTTGCGCCGTGTTTTTGCATAGATTCCCGCGGCATTGCCGCGCGGTGCTGCCAGGGTCGGTTTGCGGTTGACTCCAGGTCAACCGCAATTTGGGAATATTCTCCTGGCACTGGGCCAAAGGCATCGGATACATTGGGATGTACATTGATCGGTTGCAACCTCATCAAACTTCGCTTGCCTTGTTCGCTCTTCGGCTTTTGGTTGTCCTTCACCTTCTCTTTTCATCGGCAAACTGTGATGACTTTTTGCAGGTCAAGTTGATGCGTTTGGCCCAGGCCCTTAAAGGAAGACTGGGAAGCCGACGAATCGTGGCTTGCCAAGTGCAAGTACCACTGGCCAGAGACGTTTTGCGACCCGACTTCGCGCAATCGGAGAAGTACCGTGGCCGCGAGCGAATGATAAGAGCAACGCGCGGATCGGAGTTGTGATGGCAAGAAAGGTTGCGCAAGATAGCAGACCCGAAACGATGTTTTCTTGCCCCTCAAACACTAACCACAAGTGGGTCCCCATTTGCTGGATACCTCCATGATTATAACGGGTTGAATCCCCTTCAAATCTGTGTGAGTTCAAGTTGGCTTGTCATTTTTTATTGTTACTTATTTTAGGACTGAGTTGTTGGAGATTCCAACTAAACATGCTGGTGCTTTAGGTCCTTTTCGGGGGTCTACGTTGATTTGCATGGGAGTTCTTTGCATTAAGCGGATGCGCTGTGTGGCGGCAGTTGGAACTAGTGGGCTGCAGATGCACGGCTGCCCGAGTTTCTGGACCTTCTGCTTGGGTTTTTGTTGCCCCTGTTACTGGCAAAACAAAAGTCCCAGTCAAAGTCGGGAAGAGAGGAGAGGTTGAGCAAATGCGCCCAATTCAAAGCTTATTGCTGTATGTTAATATCATCCTTTGGACTTTTGACCTCCATCCCCAAAGGTTCATGTTGACTGTTTTCCTCGCGGTCGTTTGGAGAAGTCTTTTGGAATTGCATGTCCTTCTCGCAATGGGATCCAAGGGGCTGCCAAGCACATCAGGCTTGGTTCCTTTCCGTGTGATGGTTTTTGGGGTTTTGCTACATGAGCCACAATCAACACCCGGGTAGATGAAGGTTAGCAAGGGACAATGCCAACCTTAAGATAGCTGCGGCCGCCTTCTTAATTCTTTACATGGTTCTGGGTCGACCATTTTAGTACCGAGTTTGATTGTGACTCAAATGTTCTGGGGTCAAGCTTTGGAACGTAAAGATGGTGGAACAGTATGCTACCCCTACTCAGTGCTTCCAGCAGGCAAAGAAGCCATGGTAAACACCTAGAGGTAAAAAACCAGTAGGTTGCCCACTGTAGTGGCTTGTCTTGAAGCACTGGGCTCAACCAAGGATTTGGAGTGGATGTTGACACATTGCAAAGATCCCTTTGGCTCACTGTGAGTGCCAAGTCGGGTTCGGAGCTGATGACAGTTCTGGGTCTTAGCTTTCTAGCTTTGATTTGCCCTTCAAAAAAAGGTTAGAATGGAGTTGTTGGGTGCTTCAAGCCCATATTAAGTCATGTTTATTAAGTATGTGTGCATTTGCTTCACTGTATATGGCAGAGTTTTCCAGTCTCTCGGTCATTGCCCCGCATTTGCTGAGCTGAACTCGCCGGATCGCAGGTGTAGTTCGGGCTCACAGGCCCGATAGCCTTGTAACCTCTTGAGCAACTCCTAGTTCCCTGCTAGCCAGCAAAGTTGACTCTTTTCAGGGGGTCTCAGAGTCTCAGACTAGCCAAGCAATTGAGCTGCGTCCAAATCCTCCGTGTACATGTTTAGTAAGAGTCGTGTCATATCGACCTGTGCGCAAGCCAAATCTCCACACGCGTAAGGTTGTGTAAGCTGGCGGCGTAAGCAAAACCTCCACATGTGGTCGCGAAAGGAAGAACTCCACGGGCACAAGGTGGCGTAAGCAAAATGATGCGACATAGCAAATCATGACACGTTTAGGACATGGCTCATTTGAGGAACCGTTGTCTTGGGTTGATGAACATATATTCTGGCACTACATACGTAGCACATGATCGTGATTTTTTCTCGAAAGAGAGCCAACACGGGATGGAACCTTTGCTAATTGTCCTCTACAAGCGCCTAGTAAAGTGGAATGAGATTGTGGATACTCTCCACACATCTTGCATCTTCCCTCATGGGTCTGGGATAAGTTTGCAAAGAAATTGTGCCCCTTGTCTTTTGACCCGCTAAAAGCGCACCCAGAATTTCGCGCAGTTTGAGCTTTGGTTGTTCGGACATCGGAAACGGATCCGTTCCTTGCGATGGCTGTGGACTCACTGCCCCATGGCTTCGACCGAGGCGGTTGGCAACCTGTGATGGCGATCAGCTGGCAGGGTTTGGACATTTGGTTGGTAGGTTTTCCCGTTTAGTTTCAAGAAGGCCACCCATCCTCCTTGGTTTCAAAGGGCTTCAGTCACCACGGAATCAAGTCACGAATTGTCCAGTCGATCCTACGAGAAGGAAGAAGATGCAGGTTCCTCGCTTCCGTCCTTGGTTTCCGAGGGCTCCACTCAGAAGGTACCCCTTGTGACCAAGGGACGACTGCATACCGAAGACAGACCTTCCCACCGGGCTAAATTTGAAAGGGATTCCCGAAATTCCCCCCCTTTCGGTACGTAGTTCTTTTTAACATCGCCTTTCCCGTCAGCTTTAAAGTGAGTCTCCTGTGGGTGGGGTGATGTTGGAAGGGGCGCCATAGGGAAACCCGTAAAGAGGCAGCCGAGTTGCTATGGAGCGCTTTGAAACCCAAATGAGTTCGATGGGTATAAACCTCAAAGCTGGCACGTGGGCAAAAATCCTCCTTGTACATGACACCTACCGCAATGTGCCCGAACTGGCCCCGTTATTCTTAATATGATCAAAGTCACCCCCTGTTGGTGGGTTAAAGAGCCCCCAACTTCTTTCTGAAGAAGAGTGAAAATAGTGACTGCAGTATGACAAGTTGCTTGTTGCCGTGGCTAGTTTTGGTGTGACCCTTAGCCCCTTAGACCATTTTGAAATTTGTATGCAACCGTTTTCTCCTGTTAAACCTACGTACAAACGGTTGGACCGTTTTGCTCATGGCAGAGCAACCCGATTGTCATTCTGCAGGTTTTTGCCAATGGTTTGGGGCCCCCTAGTCGATTTTTAGATCTCTCCTCCACAAATGATAATCCAGGAAAGAATTCCGCGACAAAAAAAAAACAGTCATAAAGAATCTTGTTTAAGCCCCAAAAGCTCAAACAAAGCCGTGCGAGTCTAGTGAGTCTAATCCCACTGCTGAACCCCCAGATCTACATAGGTAGCCCTGATCAATCGCAAGGGAGGCGGAAAAAAACTATCTTCTGGCCCACTAAATATTTAATGGCCTGCGGCCTGGTTCCGCCGCCCCCACAAGCCTCAGAATTTCGGCCCGACTGCACATGCGCCTACACACACACACACATGAACAGACCAACGCACGCGTGCACATACACCTACGCATGCGCATGCGCAGCGGACGCAGACGCACAGACATGTGCACCACTCATACACAAACACAAACACAAACACAAACACATGCACACAGGCACACACACGCACACACTCACACGTACACTTAGACACACACACACACACACACATACACTCACACAGGAAGGAGAAGGGGGAGGAAGGGGGGGGGGGGAAGGGGGGGAGAGGGGGGAAGGGGGGGGAGAGGGGGGAAGGGGGGGAGAGGGGGAAGGGGGGGAGAGGGGGGAAGGGGGGGAGAGGGGGGAAGGGGGGAGAGGGGGGAAGGGGGGAAGGGGGGGAGAGGGGGGGGGGTTGGAAGGGAAGGGAAGGTGGGGTCCAGAGATCTTAAATCCAGAGATCCAGACGATCCAGAGATCCAGAGATCCAGCCGACGTATTTGATGTGTTGTAGCCCCCAAGAAAAGACTAGAATCCAGCAGCACTAAATCCAATCCGAGCAAATCCCAGCAATACTAAATCAAACGGAAGCTGAAATTCAGCAATACTCTCACGTGGAACATGAAATCCAGCAATACTATATTACACTTTTTCAATTATACAAATTGGCCTCAACAATATATCCCAGCTCTAAGCCAGTTGATTTTGGCGAGTGGTCATCTATTTCAGAGGGCGGCCCTTTTTCTGTAACCGAAAATGGCCATTCAGGTTTGTGTTCTTTGGGGATCCTTTCAAGCTATTTCAGGTTTTGGAGTAAAGCTGACGTTTGAAGCCGTGGAATGGTTCCTTTTCGAAACAAGTGGCATTCTGAAGGTAGTAGGTCAATGCAGTCCCTCCCCGGCTCCCGGCTGGCCATACGGCCCCTGCCAGGTGCCGAGACCCTGTCGCTCTGGGTGCGGCTGCCGGCTCCCTCCATGGAGGCGCCGAAACGGGTTT